ACGGTTCACATAAAGTCGAATGGTTTCAAGTACATCAATGTGTACGATTCACAGAGTCTCAAGGGCTATCGTCAATGTTATCGAGTGGTATTCTTACAGCCGAGGAGAAGCTGTTGCTGTGATTCACAGGCAACAGCGTTGCGACATTACCGTCCAATGTCAACGGTGCTGAAGTTCACCCCCCACTCACCGACAAATCCATGTACGTCACTCCTGGTGGTGTTCACGTCCAGGAAAAATTTCCAGTTGACCAAGCCGATATCCACGATGGATGACGCGCCGGGAATTCATCTCGAGCAATCACAAAGCTCTTGCCCCTTTCATCTCATTTTCCAATTGCCACCATGAAGTTCGCACTTGTCCTCGCCACTGTCGCCGCCGCTGTCTTTGCCCAAGACGAAGTTGCCTCCAAGAAGTACCCCATCGAAATCATCGGTGGCCATGAAGCCCAGGTCGGCCAGCACCGCTACCTCGCCGGCCTCAAGCGCTCGGTCATGTCCACGTCCAGTTGCGGAGGGAGTTTGATTGCCTCCAACATCATCTTGACCGCGGCGCACTGCACCGGCAAAGGCTTGCATTTCGCCGTCGTCGGGACGCACTACTTGTCGGGATCGTCCGACGGCGAGCTGGCCGCGATCATCAAGGAGATCCCGCACCCCAAATACTCGGATTCGACCGAAGGCTACGACGTGGCCATCCTCATCTTGGATCACGACATCCCCGGTATCGCGCCCATCCCAGTGTCGTTTGAGACCGTGCCCGCCAACGTCAAGACGTGGGTCCGTGGCTGGGGCACCACGTCGTACGGCGGCACCCAGTCCAAGGTGCTCAAGGAAGTGAGCGTTCTGACGTGGGGCAACGCGCGGGCCACGGCTGCATTGGCGCCCCGCAGCGTCGACAACTCGATGTTGGCTGCGGGCGGCAAGCAGGGCGAAGACTCGTGCCACGGCGACTCGGGCGGCCCGCTGACGATCGAGGACAACGGAGCGGCGCGCTTGGTGGGCGTGGTGAGCTGGGGTCTCAGCTGCGGCGACCTGACCAAGCCTGGCGTGTATGGCCGTCTGAGTGCCATGCGCGACTTCCTCGAGCCGTTCTTGGCAAAGAGAAACTTGCGCGTGCCGTACGTCGTTGGCAACGAAACTGAAATGGCCGAGGTCGGAGATAACGTAGTCATGGACACGGAACATTTGTTGGCGGGCTCTAAAGTGGAGTCGGAAGGCAGCAACTAGATAACCTGTATTTTGTTTTCTAGTCTTAACTAGTCAATTGTGTCGGAGTTGTATTCTTGCGAATGTCACAACTTTAGGAGGTGTCTTAAGAGTTGTTGGGAGGGGGCTGGAGGGGTATGTGGGTTAAGTTCTTCCAACCACCAGGGCATGACATGTCATGTTCTTGTATGTCCGCTGCACACCCCGCGACAATTGGATGAGTGTTTATCAGTATGTATCCTAGAGTTCAACGTAGAAGGTTAACTTGTACGGCAATATTGTGATCACTCATTGCTTTCATGAGTTCGGTGGCCCAGTTGGAGTCCTTTGCAAAACGCTTTTGATCTTGGCTGCAGTGGCGTTAGTGTGGCCACATATATTTTGGACTCAAGTATATATGGGATAATATTTCGCTGGTCAATCACGCGATTTTAGAATGTTTTATCCATTTGTATTGGTCAAAATTATTGTTTCCCTGACGGGTCGTTTTTACACTTGAATTTGTCACTCATTTCGTTTAGCTCCCATGGCTCTACTGGTGTTCTCCATTCCAAACTTCAGTCAAAATTGCCCATTGTCAAGATACACTCTGGGCCTTCGCAACGTGTAACGGAGGATCCAGCTCAATCGAGTCAGAGGCTAGAGGTGCTAATTCTCAAAAGTACTTTTATGAATTTTGACTAGTAGTACTAAAGAATTGCATATTTTTGTTTGAGCTTGAAATGACTACAAAAGTAAATAATGTTTCGTACAGTGCATCGGTTTAAGTGCTGGCGCAGACATCTCGGTGGGGGGTACGCGTGGGTTCAAATCCCGCCTGGTACTTCTTTTTCGCTTGCTGTCCCTAGGAAGATCACCACCACAAGCAGCGACGCCACCACGTGCGAAATGCACATTGTGGTCAAGTCGTGATGAGTAGGTGGTGGCAATCTCTCCATCCGCGTCGACTCGATTGCCGTGATCCTGCCGCTTACAGACATACCAATTTCCGCACGATCTGACGAAGCGGCGTTGGTGGTGAAGTGTGCACAGGACTCCACCACCAACGCTACCGCTTACATCAATGCCACGACAGTCACCTAGAGCATCCGGACGACTGTGATGGTAAAGGTGGCTGCGGTGGTACTGGGATAGGTTGTTGCAGCAATGGCCCATGGTGGTCATGCCATGCGTGGCGGAGTCGGATAGTGCTTTTGTAGTAGGCGCTATGGTATGTACAATTCTTGAGACTTGGAGACGGTAGAGATGGAGCTTGCCATGGCAGTAGTCCTTCATGCCTGCACCACTGTCGTGCCGTCCACAGAACCCCCCCACCAACACATCAAACATCATGACCAAACTGAAGTGTTGATGGAGGTACAAAGAATGGCGGAGGCGACCTTTTGGGGGGAGGTGCGGTGGGCGTGTTGCTGGTGGAGATTGTGCGATGTTGGCCGTAGATTGTGTTCCAATTTGAATGGAGAGGCGCCACGTGCTCACGCGATCGTGGCAGCTCCAGGCTAGGCATCCCACCTGCTCGAAGGACCCACCCTGAATAAGGAATGGGGAAACTGGGGATGCCGATGGGGAGACAGTGGCAATTGCAGCTGGGTGGCGGCGATGCTTGAGGTGATCATGCACTATATCCATGACTTGATACTGAAGTCGCTGGCTATGGAGGGTAGTAGTACGTGTGGTGGTTACGGTGGAAGCGACGCATTCTTCCCCACCAATGTGGCCTCAGACACAACGCCCCACTCGACCATAGAAAGACGCGGTCGCACAAATTCAGAATGAATCCCAGGGGAGTGAACTGCATTGTCGGAGGCTCTCGGCCTCAAGAATGGCGCAAGGTCGAAGAAACCAAGTGACTGCCAATGTGGAGACTGTTAGGGTGTTAGGAAACAGCTAGCTAAGGGCGAGTTTCTCAGAGGGCGTCGAGGTTGAAAGGTAGATGTTCTAAGGTTCAAAGCCTAATCTTGAGATCGATGTCATCAAGAACTTGATGACCATCGCCGTCATGTGATTGCTTTGTAGGTGGTGCAAAGTTGGCACCGCATCCAATGCATGCTTTACCGCCGAGTTGTCGAGGGCACCATCGCTGGGGTATGTACTTCACACGCACAACACCACATGAACCACCGGCACACTCCACCAACCTGCCAGTGCGCACTTCACGTTGCAAAAGGACGAGTCCTCCAGCAGTTTTCATGAAAAGATCTTCCTGTCAACAACATTGCAAATGTTGTTGACTGGTCATCCATGTACAGAGGTCTCGAACTTCATTCAGGACGACCATCTTTCACCCAGCAATTGCGTCGGTGGAGTTGCAAACAAGCGATTCGTGGTGGGCTTGGCCTACCAGTGACCTCCTTCCGTACACGACACTCCGTCCAAAGTCTAAAAGCCTAGCTACAGTATAGCCCACGATATTTCCTACATCATAATCAATGGCGTCCCAAACACGGTTGGTGCACTTCCGTCCCGTGTGAAATGCTGAATCCATCCATCAAGATCGTGTCATTCATTGACGAAGTAGGTCCTCCAACGATTAATGCGCAGGGTGCTTTGACTCTTGGCGAAATGCCGACGAAGGCATCTCAAGCGCAGCATCAATCATAAGTTATCGTCCGCCAGTGTCGGGGTTGATGCTGTCGTATAAAACCTGCATGAACTTTTCGAACGTAGCGGCGCTTACAATGACGAATTGCGCTCATGCCCCCTCCGTCCCCTCATGGGGCAACGTTCAGCAACTTCCACAGAATCCACGGCCGCTTGAACAATCTGCCAAGTTCTTTCTTGGTTGATTAAAGCAAAACGTTCAAGGCGCGCACCACATTTATGGTCGGTTCGGCTTCTCGTCGAACGCACAACCATGTCACATGAAGGCGGCTTTCAAGCGTGCTCTGCTGAAGGTCCAGCAGAGCCGACTTCGACCTGCGGGGGGACAAGCAATGCCATGCTGGGGGGTAGCGACGTTGATGCATCTGC